GCAATTGTTAGGATTAGTTTTGCAAAACCTATTGAGCTTATCGACTTTCTTCAAAAGGGATACACCATCATTGGAGAATACTATGCCAACTTGCTGAGGCAAATACAGAAAGCTACCAAGACAAAACACCCAGAAAATGATAAAAGGGGTTTGCTTTATTGGGACAATGCTCCGATAAACATGTCTTTTGGTTCAATGGCTGTTGGGTGTAGCCTTTGTTTCATGTTCGGAATTGGGTTGCCGATACCTTCTCATTCTCTTTCACTCTCAGTAACCCCCTTGCATCTCAGTGGTATTATCGCCTTGATTGGGGTGAATTGATTACAAAAAAGTTGTGGGTAAAAATGCTAGTAGATTTATAGTTATTGAGAATAGTCGGGAATAATGAAGACTAGACTTACATGAGTGGAACGACGATGTCGACTGGTGGATCCTAAGCCGTTTTAGTAGCCTTCCATTTGGAATGGCGGAAGAGGTGAGGGCAGGTGTATATTATAAAAATCCTTCCACCTCACTACTCATCAGGCTCTTTGGCTGACAGCGAAACAAGTTGTTATTATTGTCCCTGTCTGTTATTACTGTGGTTACCTGACCCTAGCGGAGAGAGTCACAATGGAAGGATCTTTTCTTTTGCAACCCGCTCATTCGTCAACGCTGGTCTTTTCAGTCGAATTCATTTTCGACGTATGCTTTAATTCATGAAATCGATGTAACAAAGATGAAAGCTCATCAGAACAATTACCATGAAAATATTTGCAGTAAAGACACAGTTAAGCGACCTTAGAGCCTTAGGAAAGTGACTGAAACAGACATGTCAATACCTATACAATTTAATAATCTTCTTGTTGGAATTTTCGGGTACCCTGGTGTACTAGTGAGCCAGCCAAAATGAGCTGACTCATTTTATAGTTCACCAATAGAAGAGTTAACCAATCAGAAGGCTCAAAATATTCAATGCGACGTGTATAAAGGCGGCCATGTTTTTCCCGAATATTCACTGCTAGCCTTTGATATCGAAGACTGAAGAATTACTGAATAGCTGCTGGTGGTATTGGCGATATAGTCAGATTCAGTAGAGTGCCTGACACGTGAGTATTAATCTTTAACGTTGTTTCATTGAACAGATTACGTACTGCGCTGTATTCTATATTCATAGACTATGGTGAATAGGGTTAACACACGCATTTTTTTTTAAATAATTTCACCTCAAACAAAGTGATGAAGCCATTAAGAGTCAAGAGGTCACTGAAAGTGAAAGAACATGACAAAAAACTTGAAAAAGGGAAAGGACAGGATTAAAAAAATAAAAGATGGCTATTGACGTTACATTTAAATATTTGAAGCTCGTTGTTGTCAGGAAAGCAGTAAGCCGAAAGCCACAATCGAGAAGTGCGAAAGAGGAAACTATTAGGATAGAACTTACGGTTCCATCTATCAAGAGTAAAATGATGAAATTGAATTTCCAATCTAGTACTATGTGTCGGAAATAATGAAGAATAGACTTACTGAGTGGAGCGGTGATGTCGACCGGGGAGTCCTAAGGCGCTAACGCCTCGTTCTCCTCCTCTTTAATAACCTTCCATTTGAATTGGCAAAAAAAGGGGAGGGCAGAAGTATGTTATAAAAAAACCCTTTACCTCATACTCGAGTTGCTTTTCGGCCGACAGCGGAACAAGATGTTGTTATTATTGTCCCGGCTTCTTATTACTGTAGCTACCTGACCTAGCGGAGAGGGTCGCAAAAGCTGGGCATTTTCTTTTGCAAACCGGTCATTCACTATCTCTCTCCACGCTGGTCTTTTCTAGAAAGACCACAACTGCGTTCGGCATCAACGGTCATGCTCCACTCAAAGTCACTTAGAAAACCTTTATTTACCACAGTAATGCATGAAGTGAAATTCAGTATGTCGACATGAGCATTTACAAATAACTGTATCAATGAAAACACTGTCACGTCAATGGTAATAGATTTGTATGAAAGAGCGTGGGTTCATATTGAAAGTATGTATATCTGCATGTGTGCGTGTGTGTCTGTTTGCATGCGCAGATACGCACACAGAAACATATACATGTCTGCGTGTGGGCGAACGGGTAGACATTTCTTTAGTATGTATTTATTTAGTATATCTATTTTGATATGGGTACACACACACACACACACACATATATATATATATAGAAGTGAACATTGAAGTCAACACTTAAAGGCGACAGGCTGTTTCATGCTAGACGTAATCTTCAGCCCTGACGATTGCATCTAGCATGAAACAGCCTGTCGCCCTGAGTGTTGACTTCAATGTTCACTTTTATATTTACACACGCTCTATCTCTGATATTGAGCACTTTGTCCCATAAATATACCACACCTTAAGAGTATATTTCTTCATATATATATATATATATATATATATATATATATATATATTTAGATATTTTTAGAATAAAAAACATGTTGAAATC